TTAATTTATAGAAAACACACACATAATTGTCATGTGCCATATTTTTTAGGGCAAAATTATAAACTTAACTCAATTAGTTAACCTCAACCAATTTAGTAATAATTTTTCTCAAAAAACACTAACGATATTATTAATTGGACGAAATTGAAATAAAATTTAAAATTAAGGATCAAAATTGAGCCAATTGAAAGTGTAGGGATCAAAATGGCACAAGGGATAAAATATAGAGACCATCGGTGTAATTTGCCTTATAATAGATTTTCAAGAAGAATTCTATCATACACACCCTATACCATATGTACTCTTAGTTACGCCATTTTCTTCTTTAATTATGACAAATTTTCTTTTTTAGTTATGACATTATTTTGAGATTTTGGTTATAAGTTTTTTTTTTTTAATTATGACTCAAAAAATATGAAATTATGTCATTTCTTCTATAGTTATAGTGCATATGGTACACGCCCCTCAAAAGGTGTGTATTGTAGTCTTTTCCTATTTTCAAAGTTAACATAAATTCAGAAGAGGCGTGTGAAATAAGTTTATAGTCAAATTTATAGATATACACATATAGATATAAGAAATAAATAATAAGAAAAAAAAATTTAGTAAGATTGGGATTGTAGTAAAAGCAGGATCATAGTGCTAATAAAATTGAAATTATAACGTGATTCTATACGATTTTATAACTATAATTATAGTCACTTCAAGATCTTAGGCTTCTTTTGGAAATTGTCAAAAAAGGCAAGTTATTGACATATTTAGGTCACATCATTTTTTAATTTGTTCATGTCTTTTCATAATAAGTAAAAAAGTTAATTTTTTTTTGCACTTGCCAAAACAACCCTTAATAAATTTAAGATTTTATTGTGATTCGAATTATTCGACCCAAATAAAATTATAAAATCATAAGATCTTATGATCTAAATTAAGATTATGATAACCATGAAAAAAGTCCTTGTACCTCATTTAACTATTGATTGATTCGAAGCCCCATCACCCTGAATTTAATGTGAATTTAATGTATATTTTTATATTTGGAAAATTTATGAATAAATGGTGTATTGAGATTCTGATGGATTAAGAATCTAGATTAAGGCCCTATTTGGAAAGTCGAATTTGGGTTAAAATAGTTAATAAAGATAAAGTAGATTAAAATAGTCAATAAGACAAAATGTTACATCCGAACCATAATCTTTTTTTTTTCTCTCACAACCATCAAATCAATTACAAAAAAAAAGAAGAAAAAAAGTCAATTATTTTCCTAAACACAACTTTTTTAGCCAGACTAAAATAGTTAAAAAGCCAACTAAAATAACCTATTCCCAAATGGGGCCTAAGACTCTCAATATAAATAAATTTAATGTGTATTTTTATATTTGGAAAATTCAAGAATCTATTAAAATGGGTTAGGTTTTTTAGGTCAATGATCTAAAAATGTATTGCAGTAGATTTGTAAGAACTGTTTACATTTAATTATTCAAATATGAAGTATATTAATTTGAAAACTAAATGGATGATGCTTAAGCGTCTATGAGA